ACTGACTGACTGACTGGCTTACTGACTGACTGACTGACTGACTGACTGACTGACTTACTGACTGACTGACTGACTGACTGACTGGCTGACTGACTGACTGGCTTACTTACTTACCTGCTAAACAGGTGTCAATAAAGGCACGTTTAAAACCAGGACTTGAGCACCTGCTGGCAAACTTTAAGGTATTCCAGGGGGTGCATGACTTTTTTAGTTTTGTATACATGTGTAGTTTATTGAACAATTGAATTCATCTCTTTATACATACCGTGGGCGGCATGGTGGGACAGTTGATAGAGTTCTCACCTCTCAATGAGAAGGTTGCTGGTTCAAAACCTGTCTGGCGACCTTTCTAGGTGGAGTTTACATGCTCTCTCCATGCATGCATGAGTTTTTTTTACTCCAGATTCCTCCCACTGAATAGAAACATTCGTGTTAGGCCAGGGGGTCACCCTAACCTGTCCCTAGTTGAGTGAGAGTAAATGATCGTTTGTCTCGTTAGTCCCTAAGTGTGGGTGTCCCCTGCCCCCACACACTCCTGAACGTGGACACCAGCCACCCTCATGATTTGGAAAAGAAGAATCGAGTAAAGATAATGGTTGGATGGATCCAGAAATACTCTAAAATAGTTTTAAATTTCAACAAAATAGGATGAAACTTTTATTTATTTATTTTTTTTTTGGGGGGGGGGTTAAAAAGCTAAAAAATAAAGATTTTACAGGAGGTCCATCACTGAGGAAAGGTGGAGCCGACAAAATGTAGGTGCGTTGATGTAGAAACTGCAGGAGTGTGGAGTTCAACATTATTGTATTCTGCTGCCAGAGGTTAATTAAGTTCATCATGATAATTGCACATCTATGGCTGCCACTTCCTGACAGCACTCTTAATAAGACAGGCAGCCAAAAGCTGAGTAGAAAGTAAGCCTCAAAGAAACAGTCTCTGTGCAAAAACTGTAACTCGTTTTGAAAAACTCATTGAACCAAAAGTGGAAGAAGACTGAAGTCCATGCAAAGTCCCCATAAAGATAGAAAGACTAACTTCTGTGTGCGTTTGTGCATGCGTGCGTGCGTGTGCGTGCGTGTGTGCAGGGCAGCAGGTACAGGCGTTCATCCAGCACGGTCAGCCTCTCGGTGGAATCAGCTTTGGGCAGCTTTGACTTCCTGAACACATCAGACTGTGAAGGAGAGGACGAAGTCCAGAACGGTGTGAGGAGCAGGAACGGCAGGTCGGTGTGGACTGAAGAAAACTGCTCGGTGCAGAAATTATCTTCTGCTTTTCTGTACATTTTGTCTCTGTCGTGACCTTTTACTGAATTTACAGAAATAAGTAAAAGTTCAGTGTTTCCCCTAGATTACTTGCCTTGGCAGGGCACTCATCTCTTCTATGATTTTTGTCCCGGAGGGGTGGGGTGGACATGTCTGTTGCACACTCTTTGTACCGTCTATTCACACAAGGAGAGCTGTTGGTCAGGCTACTTGTTGTTGCTCTCAAAAATAGTTATTGAATCAAGTGTTTATTTATGTAGGTAAAACATAATGTTTAACGTCTAATGGCATCTACTTTGGGTGTGTGTGGGGGGGGGGGGGGTCGGTAGGCAGGCGCTCAGTTCCTTTGACAAGGATTCAAGGTTCTTTATTTGTCATTCGCACCACATGTGGTACATGGGGTGTGAACAAGATTATGTCCACAGGGTCCCAGTTACATCCACCAATAAAATGTAAAAGAAAAACAGTAACAAGATCAAAGATATGAACTAATCAGAAAATCTTCTCATCCCCCTTAACAACTCTCTGCTATCCCCCTCGCCTCAGGTCAAGAGTCTCGGTGTCATCCTCGACACCACTCTCTCCTTCACTTCACACATCAACAACGTCACTCGGTCTGCCTATTTCCATCTCAGAAATATTAACCGTCTCCGCCCTTCTCTCACACCCCGCTCCACAGCCATCCTTGTTCACAGTCTTGTGACTTCTCGGATTGACTACTGCACCTCCCTTCTTTATGGCCTCCCCAACAAATCTCTCCAGAAGCTGCAATTGGTCCAGAACTCAGATGCCCGTGTCATCACTCAAACCTCCTCCTATAACCACATCACTCCAGTCCTGCAGCAGCTCCACTGGCTCCCGGTTAAATCACGCATCGTCTTCAAAATTCTTCTTCTCACTTCAAAGCTCTCCACAACCTTGCCCCTCCGTACCTATCTGACCTCCTACACATCTCCATCCCCTCCCGCTCTCTCAGATCCTCCTCTTCACTACACCTCCATGTACCCTCTGCCCGCCTCTCCACCATGGGGAGCAGGGCCTTCACCTGCTCTGCCCCTCATCTCTGGAACTCTCTACCCCCTGACTTAAGAAACACCACCTCTCTGGGGGGGCACCCTGTTTGTCTAATGGTAGGGGAAACACTGAAGTTAACTGAAGAGCTCTGTTAAAGCAGGTGTAAATTTTCCGGCTATTTGAATCACACTGTGAAACAGTGATAGTGTCTGAGTTCTGCAGGGTTTTTTGTTGATGTTGTTTTTTGCTTTATTTATTTATTTGTTTATTTATTTGGTAGCAGCACCTGAAACCTTCAGTTTAGTTTTTCACAGAGCTACTTCTTCACAAACTGAACTGCAGTCGGTTCAGCTGTCCTCAGAAACCAAGAAGCGTAGAGCAGCAGAGAGCGGCGCCATCAGAAGCCTCCCCTCACGGTGCGTTTGTTCTGTTTGTGTTTAGACCTCGACAGGATGGGGGCTGGGACAGCCACCTCTCCCCCGCCTCGCCCCCCACCACTGGCTGCACCACTCTGGACAGCTCTCTGGTCGTCCACCTGAAGAACTGTAGCGCTCAGCTGTTGGTACGTGTCCTGCACCATTTATCTCTTAGATTATGGTCTCACTGGGCTGCCACAGCTGGCAAACAGTTAGAAACTCAACATTGTGGGAAGATTTGTACATTTTCTCTTGAAGTTGAAATGACACTTTGTGTATTTTACAAGAATGTCACACAAATGCAGGTAAATTCAGCCTAGACTTTACAGAACAGCATGCTGTTGTTGAATGACATTCAGCAAAAATCTGTTGAATCTTGACACATGTGACTTAACAGTCATGAGAATGTTGTGCACCAGTGATGTGACACGTCCAGTAACCCTCCTGCTGCCCTTGGGTCAAAATAGCCCGTGAGACTTCAGTTTTAAAGCTGAGGCCTCGTGGGTCATTGCAGGATGAGGACCAGGCTGCAGCAGGTCTCTGTCAGGGAACTCTGGCCAAGGTTTATGGATGTTTTTTGTTACTATGGCTGAGAATGTTAACTGCCCATGAACCATGTGTTTGAGTTAGCAGAGAGTTCTTTTCTCTGTCAGAGAGCTCAATGAGGAGCTGATTTGATGCTGCATGTGCAGCTGGATGGCCATGGACACCAGTCTGCCTGTGAGCCGGGAGCTGATGGGCTTATAAAACAAACCTCGCACGCTGCCCGTTGCAGATTCTCATGACTGGTGTTGGATAAAAAATATTCTTTCATTATCTACTTCCAAAAAGGAGCCACACAAAGCCTGAAGATTTTTAACCCAGTTTACTTGAAGGGGCAGACGATCATGAAACTGTCTTTTACAGATGTTCAAAGTTACTTAGAGCCTCGTCATGAGAATCTGCACCGGACAGTGCGGCAGGAAGTGTTTTTATAATGCATCCTCCAGACCGTGTCAGGTGCGTGCAGGCTCTTCTGTGACAGAGAAAACAAACTCTGACCTCACATGGTAAGATTAATTTAGCATTAGCAGTGATAAACATCCATAAACCTTTACCTGGATTCTCTTGACAACTGGGCTCCGTGCATGTAACTTTACATCTGTGTAACCTGGTGTGAAAGTCTACCTTTGCAAGTAACACCAGTTAAAAACCTTTCGAGTGTGGCTTCTTTGAGTAGGTAAGATGGAGGATATTTTTATCCAACAGCCTCCAGTCTGGGTCACATGACATTTGTAAAGTCCAGTTCTCATTGTTGTCTCTAACTGGTCACAGTGTAGCTTCACAGCTCACCAAGACTCACAAAGTTGTCTCACATTTCTTGCACCTTCTGACAGAACGAGGTGGTTCCACACTGAAAAGACTGGATCTGCAAAATATCTGAACATGTTCAGTTTTATACTTTAGAACATAATCACATTTTATTGTTGACTGGCTCAGTTCAAAGTGAGACAAACAGGACATAATGCAGATATGGGAGAGGTCCTTTTTTATCTTAAACTGGGGGGGCTGACTTTGGCTGGTAAGACCTGGAATCCCCTTCGGTCTCATGTTTAAGGTGTAGATTGTCAGCTGAATCTGTGGCTTGACGTGTATATAAACTTGTATGTAATCCTTCTTTCATGTCTACATTATTCATTTGATCTCAACCGCTTTATTTGTTTTGTTTCCCAATATTTGTCTGTCATTAATTTATGTGCAAGTGCCAAGGTGGAGGTGGTTAGTTATTTGAAAATATGGAAAAATTTAACAAGTACTGTTTAAAAAAACAAAAAAAAAAGAAACAAGTCATCATCGGGACATTGGGCTGGAGTAGGTAGGACTTAAATCTCCATGTACCTTGTTCACAGACACTGGTCCAAAAATACAACTTGGCAGCCTTTGTTATTATTATTTTATTATTAACCTTCATTTAACCAGACAAATCCCATTGAGAACCCAGATCTCTCATTCAAGGGAGGCCTGGGCCTGAAGGCAGACTAACATGCATGTTTTTGAAGGAAACCGGAGTACCTGAAGAAAACCCACGTAAGCACGAGAAGAACATGCAAACTCCACACAGAAAGACCCCAGGTCCAACCAGGGATTGAACCCAGGACCTTCTTGCTGTGAAGCAACAGTGCTAACCACTGAGCCGTTGTGCTTCCAACAACCAGATCCAACTGGAAACGTAAACCAGATCCTGTTAGTTTCAGTTCTCAGCGACGACAGACGTAGAGGACACAAGGTGTATTGTTATAATACATGTCTATAATTGAAAAATGTAGTCCTGTCCAAGAACAGAGCCAATAATTACACTGAATATTGTTTTTTCATTATTTGCAAGCCATAATCATCCAAATGATAAAAAATAAAGGCTTGATATATTTCACTCTATGTTTAATGAATCTGTATAATGTATGTCCTGATGCATGCTCAATAATCCAGGTAGAAAAATCTAAAAAAGTTAAGTCTGGTCCTCTGGACATTCAAATAACAAAACAAAAAAGTACAAACATTTCGTCCTTCATCCGAAGACTATAGACTCTATACTATATATAGAGTCTATAATATATGAGTTTCACTTTCTGAAGTTATTGACAAAATAAATTTGAACTTTTTCACGATGTTTAAATTTTTTGAGACGCACCTGTACAGGTGCTCTGTCACATGAAAATATGAGGGAATGTTCAGCTGCTAATCACCTGCACAATACTAATAGTTTATATTATGTTTCTGAATGACAAGCAGAGGCAGAAGCATACAAAGTTTAAATAAAGCTGAACCAAGTATTGAACCTTGAGGTACACCACAAACATAGTTGACATAGAACATGTTTTATTTAGTTAGTTGTTGTTTGAATTAGGTTTGTAAATGTTCCTCTTTGAGGTGAAGTGACCTGTAGCGTTCTGTGTGTAGCACCTGGGCATGTTTGGTCCTCTGCGGTGTCGGGAGATGTACGCCTTGGACAAACTGCTGAGAGAAGCTCATGTCTTTAAAATCATCCGTCGCATCATCAGGGACAATCCACTTCGTCTGAGACAACCTGCTGAAGGTATGTTAGAGTCCGTCTGTGACTCCTGTGTCTTTTATTAGGAGTTTAAAAAATACCTGCGCAGCTGTTATAATTATGTTTAATTTATTTAGAAGTCTTATTTAAAACATGTACTGATACACAGCCGTTCAACTTTGCTCCAGGCTTGATGTCGTGCAAGAACAGCGTGTAGGGACTAAAAGTTTGAACATGTGCATATCTTATATTCCTAAAAAATGTGATGTTACCATACCATTACACACCAGCTTTATTCAAAGAGCACTTTAAACACCCGCAGGACCAAGTCCTGTGCACATAACAAAACAATCATCCAATTAGACAGAATTAAATAAAATGGGCTAGATGAAAAACAAAACAAAAAATTAAAAAATGATAAAATGTCAACACCTCAGATGGTGTCAAAGGTCAGGGAGAAGAGATGGTTTTAAGAAGGATTTAAAAACAGACAAGGAAGAGTCTGATGTTCATTGAAGGTCGTTCCACAGTTTAGGAGCTGCAGCAGCAAAGGTCTCCTCTGAGCTCGCACTCAGGAGCAGCTGGTCACATGACCTGGGGGATCCAGAGGGTGTGTACAGATGTGATGGGGCGGGGCAAGTCCATTTAGAGCTTGAAAGCAAATTAAAGAATATTTAAATGAATCCTAGAATGTACGGGCAGCCAGTGCATGGCTAAAACAGGAGAAATGTGTTCAAACTTTCGTGTTGCCAGTTGAAAGTCGTGCAGCAGCGTTCTGTACCCTCTGAACCTGAGAGATACACGACTCACTGATTCCTGTATAGAGTGTGTTACAGTAGTCCAGCCCAGCGGTCACAAAGGCATGAACTACTGTTTCAAAACGCTGCTGAGAAAGTATCGGCTTTAATTGAGCTGCCTCAGATGGAAAAAAAAATCTGGATTTAATAACAGCTCTGATGTGATTTTCTAACTTTAGTCCAGCATCGACTTTGAACCGTACGTTTGTAACAGTTGGCCTGATGTACGGGGCAAAGGAACTAACATCTACACAGGGGCTCTCGTTAAAATTTAAAAAGTTCACAGTCATCCAGGCTTGTATGTCCTTCCGACATGAAAACTGAAGGCTCAGAGAGTTGGAGTCCTTTTTCTTTAGCAGATATCTGGCTATCATCTGCATAACAATGAAAGGTATACACTAGTCCCTCGTTTATCGCCGGGGAGCCGTACCCCAAAGACCCGCGATAAGTGAAAAACCGCAAAGTAGGAATAGTAAATGGACTGTACTTACATAGCACCTTTCTATCTGATCAAGATACTCAAAGATACACTACAGTCTGTGCCTCATTTACCCATTCATACAGCTCTACTAGATTTCTACAAAGCTAACTGAACAAATCATTCTAATGAGACTAATCAGTGTTTTAGATCACATTCACACACCCATGGGACACACATTAGAGGCAATGCAGGTTCAGTGTCTTGCCCAGGGACACTTGGGCATGTGACTGCTGGTGGATTTTAACCCCCAACTCTTGCATTGGAGGACGACTGCTCTAACCACTCAGCCACAGCCGTCCATATTTAATATTTAAAGTGTGTTTTTACATAGAATGCAAAATAAAATGGTTTTAAATCTGGTTGTTTTAACCCTTTCTTGTATTTCAATTCAATTATACTTTATTAATCCCAGAGGGAAATTATTTGTTG